TGTCTTCACAGTCTTATCCTATCACAGCCCTCGCTGCTGTGCACTTCTCACTGGGCTCCCCAACTGAACTTTTGAGTTCCTGGAGGGCCCAGGGTATCCACTGTCCACTGAGTGCTTGACTAAGTGAGTGAGTGATGGCTACCATACTGAATACCTACCAGGTACCAGGCATCACATTTTAAAATATGCCCTCATTCAATCCTAACTACCCTACAAGAAATGCAATATCATAGCAGAGATGGCCAAGGCTCAGACAAGTGCAGTAACTTGCCAAGGCCACACAGCTTCTGACTAGGTGGCTGACTAGGAATCAAACGCAATTCCACCCAAAGCTCATATCTGTCTGCTCTCATCCACAGAGCCATCATGATGGAGGAACACCACCTCCAGCACCGTACTGGGGAGGCAGCAAGCAATACCTGTCCAGGTGGGACAGCTGCCTCCAGGCCAATCTCATCCCCATAGCTGAAAACCGGGGTCCCTGGCAGGGTGAAGAGCAGCAGCTGGTAGAGTCGGAGGAGTTGAGCCGGCACGAAGGAAGTCAGGAGCCCCGTCTGAGACAACTGCAGGAACGGATGCACTGGTGAGCCCCAAAGCCCACCCCTGCCTCCATTTCCCAAAACCCCTTTCCTCCAAAACGCCTCCTGCCCTACGCCCACCACTGTAGTACTCACACTCCAGCTGCACCAACGACTGCCAGTGGTGTTCAAATACTGGGTGACCAGGAATTCTACATGCTTGCCAGTGAAACTGGGGTTTGACAGGTAGGAGCTGGTCAGCAACAGGTCCTTGGTGGATTCGAGTAGGCTCCGGATCTGGTGAAGGTCAGAGGACTCGGTCCCTGCAATCAAGAGCCTGCACGGAGTAGAGCAGGGCACAAGGTTGGTATAGGACAAGAAAGGAAAACTGGAAGTGAAGAAGGTTCTCTGGACTAGGAACTTCCCCCTTCCTTGGGCCTACCATTCCACTGAGGGGTTCTCACAGTGGAGCCGACTTGGGGAGGGGGTGTGGTCTGTCACCCACCTATCTTCACTGATGTTTTTGGTCATGTCCTGCCACTTGGCCAAGAATGAAGACGCATTCTAGAAAGAAAAAAGCAGAGTTGAGGAACAGGAAACACTATGAGACCCTGGCAAGACACTCTGTTCTGGCCCAGGCTCTGCCTCTCACATGGAAAGGGAACTCACCGTCAGATTCCCCACGTCCCGAAACTGGAAGCCATCCACACCAGCCTGCATCCAAAACTTCAGGGCATCCTATAGGGAGGAGAGCAAAAGAACAGAGGAAATATATCAACACTCTGATGCAAAGGCTCAGAAAATCCCAGCCCACACTAAACCTTGCCTACCCAGCACTTCGCCATGACCTTGGGAGAGTCACTTGCCTTGAATGGTCTCACTTTCCCACTTCTGTTACAAAAGTTTAGCCTTTGGTCCCCTCCCTTCTAACCTATCATTGATTCTCTTAGTGCTGTAGCATTTTACTTTTCTATTCTTCCCCAAGGCAAATCACACAGCTTCACCTTTGATCCCTACAGAACAGGCCCAAGAGAAAAAGTATGTTCATAGACATAACTTCATTCAACCCTTAGCATGTGTGGTAGGCTAGTAGACTCGTTTTAGAGATGAGTAAACAGTCTCAGAGAAGCAAAGAGGCACGCCCAAGACCAGAATCAGAGAGCAGCAGAGAGAGGACCCAAAATGCTAGTGAAGAGCCCAGGACAAGTGTACTTACTCCTCTCCCAGTGTCCTGAGGCCTGGGGAGGGTGTGAGTCAAACAGCAGGTCTCAGCAAGGGCAAAAATGAAACAGTGCAATTCAAAGCACAGCCCGAGGGCAGCTTAGAAGATCTGAAAAGAGGCGCCAGCTCTGCAGAACCGGCCTCAGGGCCTGGCATTCTTGGGGCATAAAACATGGTACCCCACCGCCCCCTTTTTTCCCTTTTTCTCCCTGCTCCATGTGCTCTCTCCTCTCGTCTCCACTTTCATCTGAGGCCACCACTCCTCATGCCATGCCACCTGTAAACATTCCCTTATCAGTGACTTTTATTTTATTTTATTTTTTAACAATTTAACTTTATTTTTTACTTATTTTTTTGGTGAGAAAGATAGTTCCTGAGCTAACATCTGTACCAATCTTCTATTTTGTATGTGGGACACCACCACAGCATGTCTTGGTAAGCAGTGTATAGGTCTGCGCCCAGGATCTGAACCCACGAACCCCAGGCCGCCAAAGCAGAGTGCACAAACTTAACTACTATGCTACCAGGCCGGCCCACTTTAAAGGGTCTTCCAGCAATTAGCAAGGGCTGAATTGGATGACCCCAAGGGTCCTATGGAAATGCTCAATTCTACCTCAGAATCATGGCTGCCAGCAAGGTGTCAGGGTCTGTCTCCATCTTGTTCTGCCTCTTCTGAACTGATCAGTGTCCTACAACCCCGGCTTAGGAGCAGGGTTGCTCTAAAGCCCCACTCCCAGCTGCTGGGTATAGAGTTTGAGCCTATACACCTCTTCAGAGAAGGCAGACTAGAGAACTAAGACTGCTCAGGACCTCAAATCCCAGGCACATTAAGTCCCTCTGAACCTCAGCTGCCTCGTTCACAGACTGGGGATGACAGGGACTTTGTGCGGCTATACAGGGGATTAGAAAACATATATGAAACGCTTGGCATTGTCCCAGACATATAGGAAGACGCCAGTGCAGACTGGGCTCCACTCCAAAACACACCCAACGAGAACCAGGAAACCAGACAGGACAGGACTCCCACAGAGAAAGGGCTTCCTCTCCCAAAAGGAAGAAAAAGCAAACCCAGACTGACATCTGAGAAATTCCTTCCTGGCACTGTCACCATCAGGGTCAAGGAAACAAGAAAAACGAGTGGACAGAAAAGAAACGGAACAAGCGAAAACAGGGGTACACTGCTGGCATATCCTTCTGCCTTGGGAGGAGCATGCCTGCCTGGCTCCAAGCAGCAAGGGGCCCCTCAGCTGCAGCCGGGCAAGGTTTACAGGGCTGCTGTGAAAGGACCAACACAGCCCCAGCATCCGGCTCCCACCTGCCATCAGCACTCACCTCCACCTTGGTGGCCACAGTGGTAATCTCATCGGGGAGGAACCACGGGTTCTGGCCCCTGTAGTTGGGAGTGAGGTCCAGAATGACCCGGATGCCTAGAACAATGGAGGCAGAGGCAGTCATGAGAAAGACTTGGGTGAGGGGAAAGGAGGAAATCAACAAGTACAAGTCCATAGAGTATTTCCTATATATTACTCGGTACAAAAGCTTAGATTTGAACCCTGGTAAAACTCATTGCATTGAAACAGAGCTATGAAGAAGGGAGGGGGGCTTAAGATCTCGCAGGGTAGAAGAGTGTAGTGTAGCAGACAAGACAGCTATGGGGCCCTAGGCTCCCGACTCCCAAAGTGCACCCTTTTAAAGTAAGACAAGATTTTATTTGGATTTTTTTTCAAAAGGACCCACTCTTACACGTTTAAATGCCACTGACTTAGTAAAAAGCCTACCTTTTGCAGATAAGGGCACTGACACCCAAAAGCTAAATGATTGCACTGCCAAGTAGAAAGCTTCTAAATCACCTGACGAATCCATTTTAGGCTGAAGCCTAACAAACCTCCCCTGTTATCTGCCCTAGGAAAACTCAGAGCCAGTCAGGTGTAAACCAGACAAAAATCCTATCCTGCCTTCCGTCTGGCCAGAAGGCCAACCCCTTCCTAGCTCCTTCCTTGCCAACTCCAGGACACCCACTCTTTTTCTTGGCCGATTGCAGGAGACTATCAAAATCTTCCTTGGAGCCAAGAGCCGGGTGGATCTGTTCCAAGTTCGTCCCAGCGACGTCATCCTCCTGGTTCTCGTGAATTGGGCCCAGCACAATGCCCTTCACCTTCAGGGTGCTCAGGTAATCGAGACGCCCCTTCAGGCCTGAAACGCAGAAGCAGGATTAAAGCGCAGTCCCTCTAACATCCCCTATTCTCTCCTCTCCCCGCGACTAGGTGTCGGGGGTGAGGTTGAACCACGAGACTCGGAGGAACTGATGTAAGAAGCCTAGCACATTACTTCAGAAACCGGCTGTGACTGGCTCCCGGCGCCACAGGAAGAAAGGAGGATGCTGAGTCAGCTACCCCCGTGAAGGAGGGAGGGGGGACGGTTTCCTTCAAAAAGGAAGGACGAGCTACGTCCCAGGGAGCGGTCGCCGCTACCGGGGGGTGGACAACCGTCTGAGTCAATCTAGGGACAGGGTCGGAGCCGGTGACCAGCTAAACCAGGGGCGGGGGGGTGGGGAGGATGCACCGCGCTCACCCGCTAGGTCGCCGGCGTCGCGGCCCTGGAAGGCCTGAAGGTCGCCGATGCGGTAGAGGGCGCCCTTGTGCCACCAGCTCTGCGCCGGCAGCTCGCGGCACCGCGGGGCCCGCACGATGATGACCACGGCGCCCGCCAGCATGCCGAGCCAGCCGAGCCAGAAGAGCAGCAGCAGCGCCCAGCGCGTGCGGACCCAGCCGCGGCTGCCCGCCACCTTCAGCAGCTCCTCTTTCGACAGGCCCGTGAACTTGGCCGCGTCCTCCGCCTCGTCGTCCGCCACCTTGATCTTCACCAGGCCGTTCTTCTCGGCCCCACCCGCCGCCACCACGGCCACGGCCGCCCCCGACGCCGCGTTCATCGGCTGCTTCTCGGGCTCCATCTCGTTCAGCTCCACTTCCTTCATGTCCACCTCGGTGTCCTGGCTCATGGTGCCTGCGGAACCGGCGGCACAACGAGTCTTGCGGTCAGGTGGCGGCTGGACACGTGCCCCGACCTCCCGGCCCCAGGACTGTTTCCCCAGCGGATGCGGCTCGGAGACGCTCCGACGACTGTCTGCCGCGGGTTGGGCCCGCCCCGGGGGATTGGCAGGGGAGCCCCGCCTCGGCCCGCCCCGGCCTGCCCGCCCCTTAAAGTGAAACGTCCGGGATTGCTCTTTGTGGGACCGCTGGGGGCGGGGGGCGGGGGGGGGGGGGGGGGGGGCGCGGAGGAGGAAAAGTGTCCGGAACAGGCCTCCGACCGCTGCGTGATCCAACTCCTCATCTCGAACCTGTCCACCCCTGAGGCTCCTTCGAGCCGGACCCTAGGAAGGCTGAACAAGGGGCCACCTTTAGGTAGGTGGAGTCTGTGATATGTCCCTCCGCCGGAAGTGGGCGGAAAGAGGATATGCAGCACGGCGGGGGTCCCGGGGCCCCTCTTCGCCCACTCTGAAGGCTGGTGGCTTCCCCAGGCCCCATTCTCCATTTGCCCCTGGCCCAGGGCTCAGGGCTCAGGCCACCGCCTGGTCTTCCCAACTTCTCAAGGCTCCTTGCGCTCAGAATCAGCCAAACTCAACTTCTGCTCTTTCCTTCACCAGGCCTTGTTTTCCCAGGCCTCTGGGACCTGGCGCTAGACCTCCGCTTCCCCGCAGGGCTTACTCCCACTCGCCCTTCAAGACTCATCTTGAGTTTCGTTCAATGAATTCATCATGCAGCAACTATTTATTGACCGCCCACTACAATATTTTGCTTTATTAACTTTATTGAATTAACTCTAATGCAATCTTTTCCTTGATGTTTTAAGATGAATCTGTTTGGACAGGAGTTGAGGCTGACACTCCCCATCTTAACCTACCCCACCCCAGTCTCTGGCGCCAGCATGTCGGGCAGCAAGGAATTCAACATGCAGAAGAGATTGACGGTGACCTGGGGGCAGTAGCAAACTGGGCTGGGCCTCAGTTAGAGGCATCCACCTTTTTCCTACAACAGACCAAAAGATGCCCTGGCTAGACTCTTCCCCACCTTGCAGGGCCTCCCACAGATTATCCCAGTCTCCCCAGGGTGCCAGGGTTCCCTTACCTCCCCATCCTTTCACTACACTAGGCCTTGGAGACAGCTGGTACTGCAGAGGCCTTGAAGACCACCCAGCTTCCCTCTACAGGGGTCTTGGATTGCGTGTAAGTGGGGCAGAGACAAGGTTCAGAGCAGGGACTGCCGGACATCAACACCATGAGGGGCCAACACTCTCCGGAACGTCTTGTTCCTGAGTAGTGCCAGCTGGATTATTTTCAGAGAGGAGCTTAAGGAAATGAGTTCTTTCTCCCTCTCCCACCTGGGCTGGAAGCCAGGATGGCTGTGTATTTGGAGGAGAGCGGAAGCCAAGATCTGAAGAAATAGCAGAGAGAAAGAAGTGCCACGGGTATGAAAAGGCTCATCCTCTGCCATTCCCCTTTTTCATCCCAAAGCCCATACCCCACCCCCACTCTAGGAAAGCTGGGTCCAACTCCTACAGGGAGGCAGGCAAGTGGGTAGAGGTTGGAGTTCAGACCAGTGCTTAATGATGATAAGAAGTCCAAGGTGCCCTGGGCATGCCAGATAAGTGCCAACCAGGGGCTCTGAACAGACTTTATCCCCAGCATGAAAACTCAAGGTTGAGGACAGCGATCAGAAGCTCTCCCTGTGAGGGTCCAACATAACACCCCCCAGGAACACAGTATCTCACTCACAGCCCCTCACAGCTCCAGACAGATGAAGTCAGTCCCTTACGCATTTAGTAAAGAAGCTAACAACCTACCTCTCCAAGCTTATCACCCTCCACGCCTTCCACAGGAACTGCCCTCCAGCCACATCAGCCAGTCTCACAACACACCGGGCTTAGTCAGGACTTGTACATGCCATTCCCTCTGTTTTTCCCTTCCTGTTTTGCCACTCTGTCTCAAATTCGTATTTATTCAAGACCTAGCTCAAATGGCAGCTTTTCTCAACTCCCTGGAAAGAACTGCTTTCTCTCCACTGTGCACGCACCTCTGCTACAACTCATGTTCCATTTGTTTATTACATTTCCTTGTCTGAGTGTCTGTTTGCACTTCAAGTCGCTGGCACCTTGTGCTATTTGTGGATGATCCTGCCTGCTCAGAGGTACCATGTGGTAGCCACTTTATAAGTGTTTGGTAAATGGGTAGATGAACTGTATCAAACCCAAATACTTCCATTCTTAGAAACAATTCAACAAAAGTAACATGTGAAGATAAAAGGATAAAAGTGAAAAGGAATTTAAACACTGTATTGTATAAAGATTAAGCTGTTAATGCAGGAAAACAAACCAAGACTTGTAACTGTTCAACCAAAATAATTTAACAAAGTAATAAATCTGGGGAAAGGAGAGGATAGGAAAGCAACAGGGAAAGACTTAGAGAAAGAGCAGAAGGTAGCTAGAGATCCTCAGATCCTACAATGTATGCTGATAAATATAAAACTTAGTATTTACTGTAGGAATGCAAAGTATATAATTTGTCAAGACGAATTCAGCCTTTAAGAAAAGGCTGGGACGAAGCAAAGAAAAGGGCAATTCAACAGTTCAGAGGCCAGTAAAGACCACAGGAGGCCACGAGTCTTCGGTACTTTACACTGAGGCAGGCAGATGGGGGTGGGGCCCTAAAATGCAGAGGGCCAAGTGTACAAAGAAAGTTCCTTTCTAACTCCCTGTTGCAAAAATCCATGTGACATGTTTCCCAACAGATGAGGATCACTTGATGTTAACCAAATGATAGGGAAGATACTTTTCCCCCAATGTGTAAAGAAGGATTTCCAAAGACAGCGCAGAGATAGGAGGATAGTTAGAAAGTTAGGAGACTGCCTCTGTCCAACAACAGCCTGCGACTCTGCCAGAGCCCGAGGCATTATTCCAAAGGCCCAGAAAAAAAGCATCCAAGCTCTGCATCTAAAATACCTATCAGCCTTGAAGGGTTTAGCCATTTGAAAAATAGATGGCTGAAGTTAAGGAACTGAGCATTCAGAAGTCAAACTGCAGCTGAGATGAAAGCAGAGACGGAGGCTGACCCCAACCAGAGGGGCTCACTTGGCAGCTGTTATTTGAAGAAGTGATGTTGGAATAATATAATTTTTATTCCAAATCCTGCAGGAGGGAAACTGGCTGCTGACGAAGAAAACTTTCAAAATTGTCTTATTGAAGGGTGAGAAATGTGAGGGCGGATAAAAGCCAGAGAGTAAAGGAAAGGCAACCAAAACCATCTCTTAGGGTAAGAGAAATAAATGCACCATCTGAAAAATATCTGGTACTCAAATATATTGGACAAATGAACAACACTGCAGCAAGCCATTCTCTCTGATGCAACCAAGTATTAAAAGAGAAACACCAGATAGAGCAGATCAATATTTATAAAAGAGAGAGAGAAGTACTTTTTTTTTTTTTTTCTTTTTTTGGTGAGGAAGATTGTCCCTGAGCTAACATCTATGGCTGTCTTCCTCTATTTTGAATGTGGGATGGCCGCCACAGCATGGTTTGATGAGTGGTGTTTAGGTCCACACCCGGGATCTAAACCATGATCCCTGGGCCACTGAAGCAGAGTGCACAAACTTAACCACTATGCCACCAGGCTGGCCCCTCACTTTTAACATATTACCCTGAGATAGATGACATCAGACAGCTAAGAGATGAGAGACAGAATACCGATCTCACCAAAAAGCCTAAATAGTAATAGATTAAGGGCCGGCCTTGTGGCCAAGTGGTTAAGTTCGTGAGCTCTGCTTCAGCGGCTCAGGGTTTCGCCAGTTCGAATCCTGGGCGCAGACATGACACCACTCATCAAACCATGCTGAGGCGACATCCCACATGCCACAACTAGAAGGACCCACAACTGAAAAAATACACAACTATGTACCGGGGGGCTTCAGGAGAAAAAGGAAAAATAATAATAAAATCTTTAAAAGAAAAGTACTAAGAGATTAAATTGTCCTTAAAATGATTAATGGAGTCCTCTAACATCAGCTCCTTCTGCAGTCATGGTCACATAATACTGGTGGGTATCGTCGTTTTCCCCACCCCCTGTGCCCTTCAAAACTTTCTATCATCACATTCTTTGCAAGAAAGTCACTAAGTGCAGCCACACCCAGAAGGTATGGAGTTAAGCTCAGCTTCCCAGAGAGGAGTGTATCTACAAATACTATTTGGGATTTTTCTATACAGGAGATTTGTCTCTTCTCCCTCATTTATTTATCTCTTCATTTATTTATATTTATATCAGTATAGACTCTTGGATATTTATTTTATACTTTGGGTTGGAATCCAATACTATACTATTTGGCTTTTTGCTCAAATTTTGGCCACTGTGAGCTCTTTCAGGTTGGCTTCTGTGTCCTTTTAATACATTCGCCTGCTCCTCTCTTCCCCAACCGCGCACCCCCACCCCCACCCCCCAAGCACTTCTTTACTTTCTGGCACTACACGATCCTCCAGGCTCACCTTGTATATTCACTAGGGCCCCAGCCCTAGAAACAGCCATTTCTCCAAGAAGCCCTGGTTCCTTTTATTGGAGAATGGATGAGAAACCAAGATATGGACACAGGTGTCTTTTGATGAACAAACGTATCCATCAAAAATGTCTTTTCTGGGGCCGACCCCATGGCCAAGTGGTTGAGTTTGTGTGCTCCTACTTTGGTGGCCCAGGGTTTCACCGGTTTGGATTCTGGGCGCAGACATGGCACTGCTCATCAAGCCATGCTGAGGTGGCGTCCCACATAGCACAACCAGAGGCACTCACAACTAGAGTATACAAACATGGACTGGGGGGCTTTGGGAAGAAGAAGGAAAAAAAATGTCTTTTATAGCTCTCTTTTTTTTTTTTTTTGGTGTCTTATTTTAAAAAATATTTCTTTACTTCAAGGCCTTAAAGATATTCATCAATATTTTCTATGCAAAAATGTAAGGTTTTGGTTTTGCCATTAAAGTCCGTAATCCATCTTTACCTGATTTTTATTTATGGTATAAGGTAAAGAGCCAATCTCATCTTTTTTCCAAATGGATAACTGTGATATGATTAAAAAAAAAAAAAAACATATATATATGTGGTCTTTGTCCCTGGTTCCTGACAGGGAGCTCCTAAATCCTTTGTAATTTCCTGGGTGATAGTTATGTCTTTTGTTGTAATGAGGCCATCGTGGTGGGCTTCTAAATAGCTTCAGGATGAGGGCTGGTCACCAGAAAGACCAAGGCATAATTAGAGGGTTGGAACTTTCAGTTCCACTCCCCAGCTCCAAAGAGGAGAGGGGCTGGAGACTGAGTTAATCACCAACAGCAACGACTTAATCCATCATACCTACATGGTACTTTCCCCTGAGTTCTGTAAGTCCTTCCAGGGAATTACTGAACCTGAGAAGGGAGGTCGTGGGAACTCCTGATTTCTGGCCAGTTGGTCAGAAGTACAGGCGGCAACCTGGGACTTGCAACTGGCTTCTGAAGTGGGGGCAGTCTTGTGGGACCGAGTCCTTAACCTGTGGGGTCTGTGCTAATTCCGAGTAGTTAGCATCAGAACTGAATTGTAGGGCACCCAGTTGGGATCTGGAAAACTGAAGGATTGGTTGTTGGGTGAAGGAAAAACCCACACATCTGGTGTCAGAAGTGTGAGTAAACACAGTTCAGGATACCCATTTCTTCCGGTTGTATATACTGAACAACAGTCCTTCCTTTCCCATTGATCTGACA